GGGGAGGGAGCAGCGTTTCGGCGGGCTCAGAGATGTCCACGTGGTTTTTATGTGCGCAGCACGCTTCCCAGCAGCTGACTCCCTTTTCTCCGCCTCTCGCATCTTTCAGATCTGCGCCGTTTGCTTGGAGGAGTTCAAGCCCAAGGACGAGCTGGGGATCTGTCCCTGTAAACATGCCTTCCACAGAAAGTAAGCCTGGGGAACGGGAGACCGAAGCCGGGCTGCCCCGAATCCCGCCGGGCTGCCCCGAATCCCGCCTGGCAGCCCCGGGGAGGCTCTTGGCGTGGGGTCTGCTGGTGCCGCTGCTCCTCGCCCGGGGCTTCTCCCCACCCCAGTTCCAGGGGAAGGAGGGGAATTGCAGCGAAAGCCCCTTATCGAATGAGTTTGGGCGTTTGGAGCAGCCACGGTCCCGTCGTGAGCTGGCAAAACCGCTTCACTTTCTATATATATATAGAGAGAGACTTTATATATTCCAAAATGTGAATGTACATTTGTGTGTGTGTGTGTGTGTATATTTACATACATATTATTTACGCATATTTATAAAATATATACACAGAACCGCTGGGACGAGCTCCCCAGGGAAGGGGTCAGGGCCCGGAGCCCTGCTGGTGTTCAGGAAGCGTTTGGACGAAGCTCTTGGCTACCTGGTTTAACGTGCAGGTTGCCCTGTGCCGGGTCCGGGGTTGGCCTTGGTGATCCTCGTGGATCCTTTCCCACTCAGGAGAGTCTATGAAAAATGTGTACATGTGAATTTTATATATATATGTAAAAGACGACGAATTTTATATGTATAATATATATACATTATATATGTATGATGTACATATATGATGTAGATACACATTTAATATATTTATAAAATGCATATATTCATATATACACACACCAGGGGTATATGTATTTTATATATTTTTGTGTATGTGTATACATTTTTACATCTATTTTATAAATAGAAATTATACAGATATAAAATACATTACATGTGCACAAAAATCCATGTATATATATACACACACACCCAAAAATGTCCTAATAAAATGTAAAGGCAC